ATATCAGATTAGGACTAACATGAATTTTCTTATCGTTAGGGATCGTGTTTTTATTTCTCAACAAAGAGATATTAACAAGCTGATAAAACAGTTCAAACAAAATGCTCCAAAAATTTTATCTTTTATTAATCTAGGTTAAAACGAGATTACAGAATTCGCCTGACCTATACGCAATAGTTTGTACTTTTATTGAAAGCGGTTACCCTAACATCATGTGTTTTAGTTGGTAATTATTTATGACATTTACTAACCTATATACAATATTCACGCAGACAGAAACAAATTACACAGAGCAGTTTGTAATGGTTTAAACAGTAACACGCATTAATTATGTAATACGCTTAAAGAGGCAGTATACAAAATTATATTATTCAAAACATTGTAAATTAAACATGAAGAGATTTCTAAAAAGGCTATTTACTGAACTTGTTTTCAAATGAGTGAATTACGAATTCCCGAACTTTCCGAATTGTCCGAATTGGGTCAGAAAGAACAAAAATTGCGCCAGATGTCGTGCACAAATTCCGGAATCAAAACATTTTACATCAAAAACGAAAATTTTTAAAAGCTTTGGTCAGTCATATCACAATTTTTTTCTTTATATTTTGTGTTCACTGTGCTCATTTATAATGATGCCGTCTATGAATTGATATTTATGATTTTTAATAACTCCGAAACCCTTCATCCCATTGTTACCAATTACGAACTCGAAATGAAATGAAATGAATGGAATTTTTACGTCCTACTTTTCTGCACCATGTGGGCTAATGTAGGCGGGCAACGCCATGCAGGTCGCAATGAGGGAAATTTTGCCAGGACAGCGGCATTAGCCTGCTCTTTTTCGATTTCCAACTGTCGAGGGATCTTTAACGTGCATAGCCTGTAGCACACGGGGCCTCGGTTTATTGTCCCATCCGAACGACTAGACGCTTTTTCCATGTCAGCCCCTCTCACCTGCATCACTGATAGGGGGAAACCGGGTTGAAAATTTCGAAGGTATTATCTCGACCTATGCCGGGATTGAACCCTGGACCTTCAGGTTAGCGAGCAAGCGTCTAACTCACTGAGTCACCGCGGCTCCAATTACGAACTCGATCAATATATACATGCATACATAGTTTCATCTTGGTTGGATAAAAACTGTAATCTCTAACGTGCCTACAATCAAAATTGGACGCGGTTTTACTAAGTCAAGGGCAATAACTCTGAAACCATTCATTCGATTATTACTAATTCCGAACTTGACCGAGATCTCATCAATATATAGATGCATACGAAGTTTCATCAAGATCGGATAAAAACTGTAGTCTCTATCATGCCTACATGCCAAATTTGACGCATTTTTACTAAGTCAAGTCTTACTCACTGCACGTTAGCCTCTTCCCACCATTCACATTGGCATCAAACTTTGTGACTTGGGAATGGGAAGACGCCTTCGATCATAGACAACAAAAAGTGTCCATTGAATAATAGCGATTATATTTATTAAAAATCAAAAATATCAATTCATAGACGGCATTATTATAAACACGAAAAATAAAGAAAGAAATTGTGATTTGACCAAATGAAAGCTTTTAAAAATATTCGTTTTTGAATGTAAAATGCTTTGATTCCCGAATTTGTGCACGCCCTTTGGCGTTTCGATTTTTTTGTCTTTTCTGACCCAATTCGGACAGTTCGGGAATTCGGAATTTTACACCCACCGTCCAAAATACAAACCTTATCACACAATTGGACCAAAACTTTTTCATTTTCCAGTCAACACCTTTGAGTGTCCAGGAAGCCTCCTACACCAAATGTAGAATTGTATTAAAATCCACATTTTATGCAGATTGCAAACACCGGTATTAAGAATCTATAATTTCTGCTGTGTCTACAGCAGTCTGGTCCATGAAAGCTTTCTGAATAGCCTTTGGCTTCTTGTTTCGCTTTCGGCGGTTTAAGGTAGAGTTGGTTGGAAACAGCAGCAGACATTAAGGACGACTTTCTGACGGGGCAAATACAACGAGAAAGATGAGAGTAGCAGCTGATTGAATTAAGAATTATCTATACATACCATTGATATAAGTGCAACATGGGGTTTCATATTCATTGATAGCTCTTGGTTTCATTTCCGTTGTCGAGCTTTCACTTGGCCAATCATAAAGTTCTTCTCTTACTTTACCATCTAAAACTTTCAGAAAACAGTGGGAATTAGCATGAGAATGAATACTACTACCATGAGCCTCGCCCCAACATAACAACATCAAGTTAAATTTACCATTTCCTTCGTCCACCAAATTTCTTGTATACCTGAAATAAATAGTTATTTATAATATAACATTTACTGATTTCATTATACTAGGTCTCTCTTGAAACCATCTAGATGGTAAAAACTACCGATTAGATACGATGACCTTGCCATTTGCTAGATGTGATGGCCTTGCCATCTACTAAATGTGAAAAAATATGATGTGACGAAAGCTGTGACTTGTCATCTATTATGTTATTTATAAGTTGTGACCCTATTTTGGAAAATTGTGACACTATCTTGTTACCTTCTTTTTGAGATAACCTTGTTATCTAGTTATTGTCATTAACTTGTATTAATATGTTTGTGATACGATCTGATATCTATTTGATGAGATGACCTTGTTATCTATTAAATGGACAGATGCGCTATTTTTTTCACACCTTAGTCTCAGAAACTGGATTTTTAGCTGAGCCAATCAGTAAAAGCGTTCCCAACTCACCGTCGAAATTTGAGCCTTCAAATCCATCCAGAATTATCCGCGTTTGAAAGTTAAAAAGACGAGTCGTCTTTCCTAAAGGCACTTCCATAGATAGAAAATACATTTAAGGAAAGAGGGGAAAAAATCGTTTTTTGAGATATATTTGAAGGAATTATATGATTTCCGTACATTTCTAGTACTTCTAGGACTCAAATAAACCCCCGAAAATGGCACAGTCGTCCCTTTAAGTACAACTTGACTACCGTGTTTTCTAGTATATGAGTCATAAGCTAGTTTTCTATTAGATGTAACATGAACGTGTTACCTATAAGATGTAGCATGACATTGTTATATGGCTGTAATATACCTCGTAATATGTTTTTTTACGTTTGACGCGACCTTGGTATCTATTAGGTTTGGCATGACCTTGTTTTAAATTAGATTTGGCATGACCTTGTTATGAATTAGATTTGGCATGACCTTGTTATAAATTAGGTATGACATGACCTTGCTATGAATTAGATTTGACTTTGGAATAAATTAAATTTTGCATGGCCTTGTTCTAAATTAGGTTTGGAATGACCTTGTTATAATTGGTATAAATTAGATTTGACATGACCTTGTTATAAATTAGGTTTGACATGACCTTGTTATAAATTAGGTTTGACATGACCTTGTTATAAATTGGGTTTGGCATGAGCTTGGGTTTGGCATGACCTTGTTATAACATAGACTTGGAATGACCTTGTTATAAATTAGATTTGGCATGACCTTGTTATAAATTAGGTTAACTTGGCATGACCTTGACATAAATTAGATTAGTTTAGTCATATCTTGGAAATGTACTGTCCATTGTCGCGGTTGATCTCTAGAAAGCGTCTCTGAATAGCTAGAGCTTCTCGAATTCGTCGTTGTTGCTTGTTAGGGAGGTTGGAGGCTATGATAGATTGGTCTTGCCATGGATTTTGTGGTTAGGAAACTTTATGAGGTGTTCAGGCCGGTTTTCCGTCTTCATTTTTGGTGGAGGTTACATGTTCTTACATTCTGGTGGAGAGGGGTCTGCATGTTTCACCTATGTAAATGGCTCCACAGTTGCATGGTATCTCATATACCACTCCACTGGGGTCAGGTTTCTTGTTGGATCTAGGTCTGCCTCTTAATCTCTATATTGTTTCTTGTTGGTATATATTTTGTTATGTTTTATTCTCTTGCCATTACATCTGATGACGACACGTGTATATTGTGTTGAAACGTTATGTGCCCAACCTTATTAAAGAAGTGTGTTATATTCCATAATATTGTCTTGTGTTTTTGTTATATGTGCTCCTCTCTTCTATATGTCGTTCAAATCTTATAGATTTGGCATGACCTTGTTATCAGTTAGGTATAGCATGACCTTGTTATCTTTTAGTTTTGGCATGACCTTGGTATCTATAAGGTCTGGCCATTATTTAACCGTGTTACTTATTGGATGTAATCTTTTGTCTTGTACCTGTGGTTCAGTTAATAAACGACTGGTTGATTTCTTATACATGTACAATATGCTGGCCTATTTTCATTGAAACTTTCAAATGTTTTAATAACAAAATCCTCAAATAAAATAGGCTTACCAGTCGTTAAAAATATTAGTGGACTTAAAATCAAGCTAAGCTTTCTTGTTCCTTTATATTAGAAAATGAGAAGTTTTCTTCTTTAGTTTGTAATCGTGATCCTTCACGTGTTAAAGAATGTCAAGGATATTTTATGTTAAACGCTAGTGGTGAATAACAAAGTATAGAGACAGAATATAATGTTTGGTTTATGTAGAGAGGTTATTGATAAACAGTCTCACTGTACATGAATTTTCAATACACATGCTCTATCAAGCAAGAATCGTATACTGTTAACTATATTGTTTCTTATTAAACTTTAACTGGTGTATCTATGCAACAGAAGTGTTGTAAAATTAGTGGCTTTGAACTCGGAGACGAATACAATCACTAAATATGTGTTGATCCGCTTACATATTTGAATATTACCATTAGGTGCATATCATATGGTATACCATTGGTTTAATACGAAAAGGGTCCTACAATATCAATATATAATTGGAGTAAATTGCGATAATTATAAAAAAACAAACACAGTCCCCATATCTTTTTTCAAAAAATCTTCTCAATGATTTCATTGTCGTTTGACTTCACAATGTCAAGCTATAACGAACTTCGTACTATTTCAAGTAATGGCTTGATATTATGAAGGCGGAAATTTCTTTCTTTAAATTGAACATTACGTTCATCGATAAAATCCAGACTATTGAATTCTCTGAACCACTGCATAATATATTAGCAATAACATTAAATATTTGAAATTTTCTATGGGAAACTAAGTAGGTCACTGTATATGATATCTGAATTCTAGCCAAATGTTGCTCTTAATGACTGTTATGTTATATTTATACATCAAATGTTCACAAAAAATGTTGTTGAATTATTAGAAGAACAATATGCTTTAAGAACTGGCCTGAGCATCTATCAAAGTATGCAGCAAATGCAAAAGTTCTGCCATTTCTGTTTAAGTCAGACTGGTATCTTCTGACGTTGATAGCTTCATAGTCCCCTAGGTGCTCTGTTCCATTCCAAGGAGATGATCAGCTACATTAGATGATTTAGGTTTGGTTTAAGGTTGTTATTTTGCCAGGAATATACAATCTTGATAATTTTTTCTTTAAAATATTCCCTGTCAGAATTCTTTAAGATCTTCTGACCAGTGTATTGATTGCTTCCCTTTAACATGTTGAGGGGTTTTTAAGTGCAGGAAATTCACATACTGATCTATGCATTATTTTCAAATCCAGGATGTTTTATGCGTCTTGTTCTTTTGCCTCCAAAGTGAGCATCTTCATTTTATACTTGCCATCAAGATGTTTGGTTGAGTTGATGGTTATATTCGCCTGTAAACATGCCAAAGGTATTATCAACATTCTGGAACCATCAGATGGAGGAGATTGGAGAAGCTTCCGGGGTGTCATGTTGATGGTATATGACATATCTGAATGATGTCGATGATGCTGTAGTGGGTGCGGATTCAGTACGACTAAGTAACCTGTGGAACTTGTCCAGTAATGATCATCTGCTGAACATATTGCTATTGGAAGATATCTCATGCATACTTTCAATAAAGCAATGGTTGGTTGTTAAATCATCAATAAATCGGTATTTGTTGACTTTTGTGTCTATCAATACAAATAATCAGCAAAACTTTTATTTGAAGAAGTATATACATGTATCTTTTATTGTACCTTTTAGATTATAATCAAGATACATAAGATACATGTATATACTTCTTCAAATAAAAGTTTTGCTGATTATTTGAATTGACAGACACAAAAGTCAACAAATACAGATTTATATGTTTACATATAAGAGAAGCGCT